GCATTCTTGAAGGCCTAAGAACTTAATGACTTTGTAGCTGGAATCAATCATTGGAAAATAGGTTGTTAAGGGTGCAAAGATGACTCTAGGAAAAATGGGAACTGACTTAGAGTTATAAGTGAGCTGAATGAACAAGAACTCAACCTTTACTGTGCTAATAAAACAACTACAACAGCAGGAAGAGGAGAAGAACACCCCTGGCCCCCATTCCCCTGAGTGACTGTTTTATTCTCCTGAGTGACACCTTGTTGACTGACAGTTTTTCTTTACAATAAATTTGGTAATTAGTTGTCCTTGTGGGATCGACCTAGCTTCCATTATCTACAAAACTCATAATCCAAGCTAGTAAAATTTATCTTTTTTTTGGTGAACTCGGCAAGCACCAATAGCTCTTTTGGAGACTTTGGGATGTTTGAAGTCTCTGTCTAATCACTTTAACCTTCTCATGAGCTTCACCAATCTAGGGAATTGCAGCTGCACTAACAATCTGAGGCTCGTTAACTTCGTTCCAATATAGTGGGGATTGGCATTTTCTCCCATACAATGCCTCATATGGCGCCATCCCAATTGATGAGTGACAGCTACTATTATAAGCAAACTCTATAAGGGTAAGATGACGATCCCAATTACCTCCAAAGTCCAATACGGAGGCTCGTAGCATATCTTCAAGCGTCTGAATGGTGCGCTCTGACTGCCCGTCAGTCTGAGGATGAGCTGCAGTACTAAAGTCAAGTTTGGTCCCCAAAGCTTGTTGAAGTTGTTGCCACATTCGTGACACAAATCTTGGGTCCCAATCTGACACAATAGACGAAGGTACTCCATGGAGTCGGACGATATTATCAAGATAAATCTGCGCTAGTTTCTCTAAGGAAGAACTCACATTCACTTACAGAAAATGCGCAGACATTGTAAGCCGATCAACGACAACCCAAATAGCATCATGGCCCTACTGTGTTCGAGGGAGACCAACCACAAAGTCCATGGTTATATGCTCTCATTTCCATTCTAGAATCTCCAAAGGCTGCAGCAATCCAGATGGTCTCTGATGTTCCAACTTCACCTGTTGACAAGTCAAACATACTGCCACAAACTCAGATATATCTTTCTTCATGTTCTCCCAGTGATAGTGCTACATCAGATCACGATACATTTTGGTGCCCCCAGGATGTACCATATATCGAGAACGATGTGCCTCTATTGAATATCTTTCTTAAGCTCAGGATCCTCTAGAATACATGTTCGGTTTTGGTACTTCAGAGTTCCATCAGGCTCTAACGTGTATTCAGATAGTTCTCCCTTCCGAACTCTTTTTTTTTCCGTTGCTGCAGAATCTCATCATGCTCTTGAGCTTCGCGAATTTTGAGATATAACGTTGACCATACGGTGATATTGGAAAAGACAATTCTTCCTTGTTCTTTCTTGGGATTCCAGTCAAATGTTTGCTCCAAGAGTCCTGTCTCCTTGATCATTAATCTTGCCACTTGTGCTTTTCTACTCAGTGCATCAGGCACTTTGTTCGCTTTTCCCGGATGATAACTGATGGTGCAATTATAGTCTTCTAGGAATTCAATCCGTCTACGTTGTCGCAGGTTCAAATCTTTTTGAGTAAAAAGATATTTCAGGTTCTGATGGTCTGTCAATACTTAAAAAGTCACTCCATAAAGATAATGCCTCTAATTCTTTAGGGCAAAAACAACAGTTACAAGTTCGAGGTCATGCGTAGGGTAATTCTTCTCATGATCTTTCAATTTCTGAGATGCATAGGCTATAACTCTACCATGTTGCATAAGAACACATCCCAAGCCTTCTCCAGATGCATCTGTATACACTACATAGCCATCATTTCCACAAGGCAATGCTAGTATTGGTGTTGTCGTCAGTCGCTTTTTCAACTCTTCAAAACTAGCTTCAACTCTATCGTTTCACTCGAACTTCACCTTTTTTCTCAGTGAGCCTGGTCATTGGTGCTGCAATTTTGGAGAAGTCTTGCATGAAGCACCGATAGTATCTAGCTAACCCCAGGAAACTATGAATCTCAGTAACACTTTCTGGCCTCGTCCAATTGGTGATGGCTTCCACTTTTGAAGGATCGACGTATATCCCTTCTTTAGAAATAATATGCCCTAGGAATGCAATGTTCTCCAGCCATAATTCACATTTACTAAATTTAGCATAAAGTCTATGCTCCCTCAGAGTCTGCAGCATTGAACGTAGATGCTTCGCATGTTCAATAGTAGACTTGGAATAAACAAGGATGTCATCAATAAAAATGACAACAAATTTGTCCAAAAAGGGGTGAAAAACACGATGCATTAGGTCCATGAAAGCTGCAGGTGCATTAGACAAGCCAAATGGCATGACTCGAAACTCATAAACTGAAGGCAGTAATTGGAATGTCCTCCTTCTTAACTCGCAGTTGATAATTCCCCTATCTCAAGTCTAATTTAGAAAATCTAGTTGCACCTTGCAGTTGATCAAAAAGTTCATCAATAAAAAGTAATGGGTATTTATCCTTGATCGTCACGTTATTCAGACCCCGATAATCTATACACAACCACAAAGTTCCGTCTTTCTTCTTTACAAACAGTACTGGAGCTCCCCAAAGGGAGGTACTTGGCTGGATAAATCCTCTTTCAAGTAAATCTTGAAGTTGTGTCTTCAATTCTTTAAGTTCAGCTGGCGCCATTCGATATGGTGCTCTTGAAATTGGTGCGGTACCCGGCAACAACTATATATGAAATTCAACTCACGTTCAGGTGGTAAAAGCTTTAATTCATCAAATACATCTGGGAATTCAGCAACAATAGGCACTTCTTCTGGCTGCACCTTATCAGCTGGGGAATTTATCAAGTAGGCAAGAGCGAAAGTAGCACCTCTTCAAATTAATTTCCTTGCTCGTAAACCTGAAATCATGGTCGTTTGCCAGAATCTACCACATAATATTACTTCTAACATTGGTTGTTCAGAAACACAAATATGCATAATTTTTTCATCGACAGTCAACATGAACATGGTACCGTGACAACCAGTCCATCCCAAGAATAACTTCATACCCCCTTATTGGTAACACCACTAAATCTACGGGGAGGTTTCTTTTTTCTACCCAAACATCACACCCCTTTTAAACCTGATCAGCTGTGGCAATTCTATCTACTGTTGGTGTGCTAACCTCTAAAAGATAAGGGAGTTTCTCTTCCCTTGCATTTAATTTATCAATAAAGCTAGAGGTTACAAAAGAATGGGTAGAACTAGGGTCTACTAACCAGAAATTTACCTTCTAGCACTGCAGAAGGTTCAGGTTCCTCGTCAGCCTCCAAATCATACACTCGAGCTGCTACCCTCAGTTTAGTCATTGCAGTTTTTGATTTCGCTGGAGCTGGTTTACTCGTTGTAGAGGCTGATGAAGTTTCATTCTTCACACCAGGGCAATCACGAACCTGATGTTCCGTGCTGCCACAACGAAAACACCTTCGTGCTGTAGCCCAACAACTCGTCTCTGTATGCCCTCGACATTGACATCTATTGCAGAAAGGCATTGATTGGTGGTTGTGGAGCGACCGATCTTGGTGGTCTCCAAGGACCTAGGGGTCTAACATGTTTGACAGGTAGTCCAGCTGGGTTTCTTGGCTGGAAACCCGACCTTTTACTAGGTATGTAACTTTTCAGTCTCAGCCCAGGCACCGTTACCGGTGTAGCTGGGTGTCGAACTTGAAACCCTTGCCTCTTATTATCAACATTTTCAGCCTTCTGAGTCGCCTCCACCACCTGTGCATAGGTGCCTTCCTTCATGGTTGACAGCAACCACTGTAATTTCAGGTCCAATCCCTGAACAAACCTTTTCTTTCTTTTCACGTCAGTGTCCACCAGTTCAGGGACAAACTTTGAAAGCTTGTTCAATTTTGTAGCATATTGGGCAACTGTCATTCCATCTTGTTTCAAACAAAGTTAGCCCTCGGGATAGTGGAGAAATTCCCGCACGAAGTTAGCCCAAGTAGTTGGTGTGTGTTCGTCAGTCCACCTCTGCTTAACTATTGGCCACCAATTTGAACTTGGTTCTTGTAAATGATACACTGCAAATGCAACTATTCGCTCCTCGGGATAGTGGAGTACGGTAAAAATATTATCCATTCTCTCCAGCCATCTCTCCGCCATCTCTGGCCCTTCTTCCCCGGAAAAGTACCAAGGTCCAAATTTCTGAAATCTTTCTAATGCCACATCTTCCGGAACTTCACTAGGTGGTTGAGTCATACAGGTCTCTTGTCGTTCAAAGTACTGTGCCATGCGCTCGACAGCTATCGTCATCCTTTCTACGACTACATCACGTGTGCGGATAGTTCCAGGTTACTCGGTTCCAGTAGGTGGCCTCGAGGCTCTGTCTCCCTCCATCTATTTATAAAAATTCCACAAGCAAGGAGGGAAAACAGGTAAGTAAACAAACATGGACTTGTGACAGCCAGTGCACACAAGTAAACATTCACAAGCCACACATTTGTTACACAGAACAGTATGATCAATAAGAGTAGGGATACTTCATTTCACACATGCATTCATACAATAATAAAATAAATTAAACTAAACCAGTAGCTATTTTCTATAAGAAATAACATTTACCCTACTCAAAACCGATTCATAAGCCACATCTAGTTACCCAATCTACAACTTCAAGTCATTTCAACTTAGGCTCTGATACCACTCGGTGACGTCCTCTAATTCGGTCCGACTAGTTTAACAGTAATCAAGGAAGCTTTGAAATGCGTCTGGCCAACTTTCGTCGGGACTCGCACAATGAAAGTTACTAACAAATGGATTTAGTAAATAAACACGAGGAGTTAAAATATTACAAGAAGAAGGCATGTCCTTGAACCATAACCCAAAGAATCATATTGATGTTTAGCAAAAGGTTGCAAAACAATACAGGAGATCTACCTCAACAAAACCTTTTTCATTTGTTGCAAAACAACAACAAACTAATTCAGGCTGTACAAACAAAATACAAACTACTACAACAACCTTAAACATGTTTGCTGGTACCAAAAATCAGTCTTCTGATACCCTGGATCTGTCTCCCCAAATCCATACTCCTCGCCCTCAAAACCTGTGATTAAAAACATCCTAATGGGGTGAGCTATGCTCAGTGAGGTCCCCCTAATTTTCAGAAAAACATTTACATGCAAAACACTCGAGTATCACAAGCACGCAAGCATTATAGACATAAGTAAATGACACGCGTGCGCAAATAATTTTTCGGTAACAACGCACCGTTACGCGGAGACTCAGCATGTAACTCAGGACTTGGCAAGATCACACAGCAAGCCATCGTTCCTTCACGACCCGAAGGCCTAGAGAAGCACGATCCAAGGTGCCACACTACACCAAGGACCAACAAACAATTCTCATGACCCGAAGCACCACACTATGCCAAGGATCAACAAACAAGTCACGAACCAAGGCGATACAGCACGCCAAGGTCCAACAGAGAGCATGCACATGCACATCACTCACGCGTTCGCAACAAGGAATACTCACACTCTTGCATTCTTTGCACATACACATTAACGAAATTTCACTAAAAATTTTAGAAAGACATTAAAATAAAATTCCACAAAAGAAAGGGATGCTCACCTCTATCCTCAACTGCTACTGGATCGTATCCATAAGGATCTACCGCCTCAAAAGTTTCAGCTACTAGTTTTGCGGATTAAATTATTTAGAGGTCAGATACTAAGTTAAAGCTGGAGTGGTAAGCTAGTGTTATGGGTAGATCAAACATAATTCCATCCTGAGTAAACCAATTAGTTAGCTACTATCTCGAATTATAAGGCTCCCTGTTGTTCTACTATTTCTCTGTACACTTATATTACTATAGCAATGCTAATCTAATTCATTTAACTGCCAAGTTAGGCAAACATAGACATGATCAACTAGGACCTAAGCCTACTCATTCATTAAAGATAAAAAGAGGAACTAATACACAACAAACCACTGTTTGAAGCTAGTTTCCTGCCTTTTCCAAATTTAGTATTCATTTGGCTTCGTTTTAAACCAACTCAGGACAGTGGTAACTATGGTTTCAACAGAAAGCATGCTAAGTAATAAGCTTTCGACCCTCTGTTTGCTCCCAAATGTTACTCAAAAAGCTTTCATGTAATAAGCCTCACATTAGCAACTAAAACAAAAGAGAGAGCTACATCTATATGATCTCCATTCCTACAAATTATTCACTAGTTTTAATTTGTTTTCAAAATCAAAACCATATTTTTTTATATATATAATATTTAGACAATTAAGCTTCCATAAACATTAATGAAAGGAAACAAAAGTTTTAAATCACCGGGAGCTTTTAAACCAACAAACACCATTAACTTATTTGCTCTCCATCCCATCTAAGTAACCTAGCATTTCTAATTGGATTAAGGGAGCTGACAAGCAAATGAAGAGCTACTCCTAACAGTTCTACTCTATATAATTTAATCTAACAAGTTCCAACCAGATTTATAGAAGGAGACTAGCAGGTTACCTTACTGAATTTGAAACCTTGAGCTACGTTCGTTCCCTGAATTAATCCCAACTTGAACAACCCTAAGTTCGTTGTTTTTTCTCCCCCTTTGAAGCTTCTCGTTTCCCCCTTTTTGTTTTAAGACTAATTTTACCCCCCTTAATTAATTAATCCTAGTAATTCCTAGAAACTTATGCCCTGGAAGCCACCTAAATATTTAGGCGGCTGAGTCCCCACTTCCCATTAGTTTAGAATTTTCTCTTTCTTCTTAATTATCATTTTTTTTTTGAGTTTATCTTCATTAGTAGTTAATGTTTTAAATATATCATAAAACCCTCAAATGTCCTTGAAACTTAATCAGAATTGATTATTATATTTTTGTGTACTTTGTTAGAATTAGCTTCCTAAAGTCTAAATAAAGGAAAACAATATTATCCCTATTTAGCTTAATGTACTAATCTAGTGGTTAAATTCTAAGGTCTCACAGTATCTGATAACATAAAAATATATACACTTTTAGTAGGCATTTCTTACCCATTTCTACTTATAATTTAGTATCATTTAGTTAAAATTAGTTTACTTTTGGAGTGATTTTGCAGTTCAGGTATCTCAGAGGGCCAATGTGGAAAATTAGCATAAAAGATGGCCAAATTGCACAAAAGGCATCAGAATGGACTGGAATGGAAGCTACCGAAAATTGGGCTGTTTTGAAGGTCGATCAGAGCTGGAGCAAGCGGAGAAATCCTTGCTGAAGAAGGAAGAATGACAGCAGATGATAACAACTTGGAGGAATCTGCAGCAGCACACTCAGTTGAGAGGAAGAAGGGCAGCTGCCCTACTTCCAAATTGCTGTTGCAGTAGCTGTTGCTGCTATCAATCAAAGAAGAGCTACGAGCGGAAATCTTGGTGCCCAAGGAAGGAAATGGCTTTGCCATCACTGCAAATTGTTGCTGTTGCAAGTGGAAGAAGAGAAAGAGAGAGAATATATGATAAACATCAGCTGCAACTCTGTTACTTACCAATTGATCCTGTTGCTGAGTTGATGGATTGGCTGCTGCAGAAGAGTGAGCAATAGTGTAGCAAGTGACCCAGGAAACAAGAAAAATAAAGGGCAGAAGATTCAGGCTGAATTAGGGGCTGGAAACACAATGATGGAAGGAAGCATGATGCTGCTTACTGACTGCTGCAATTTGAGCTGTGGGGAATAAAGAATGAAGAAACAGAGATTTGGGGTTGCAAATGATGAGAAGGCGCCGGAGAAGAAGACTAAGAAGAAGCGGCAATGATGAGTAGAAGATGGCTGATTACGGCTGAAGAAGGAAGGAGCTAACAAGAGAAGGCAATAAACAAATACTTTTGGCTGCTGCAACTTATTGTCTCCTCTGCTCTGCTAAAAGGAAGGCCGGAACTCCACCAATCCAAGCCTCTCCAAATCTCTATATATAGTCAGCCAATATCAGTTAGAAAACAATAGAATGGGTAGTTAGATTTAGTCACAAATACAGTAGTTAGGTAGTTATTAGTAGGTTAGAAACAAGGTAGTAGCAGGAACAAGGAGGCAGACTGTCACTCTGTCAAGTGGCGAACGCCACTCGCCATAGTGAACAGACAGAAACTGTCCCTGCTACCATCTTTCCTTTCTTTCCTCTAACCTTTTGATCTAGACTCATGTCTTATCTTTTGTACTTTGTTGCTCTCATGTTTAACTCAATAAACATGAGTAGCTAACTTAGATAAGGGTTCAATCCATACTATCTTTATGTGAAGGTTCTAATTCAGTTTCCTTGATGAGGTGTTGTGCCTAGATAAGTGATTTAATTAACCTTTTAATTAACTTGGCCACTTAATTAAATGTACTTACATGGGTATGAAGATCTGGAAGGGGGAGCATAATCTTAGAACCACTTAATCTAGTCTATGACAATATAGGAAATTTACCCTGCGGTTCCAAACATCAACGGAAGTTAGGTGAATGGCATAGGCGATCAAAGAGGGCTAATGAACTCCATGGCTTAGATTAATGAATTTTTCTGACTGGAAGGTAGGTAATTTAGATAATCTAGGACTCTTTATTCTGTCTGGAAGGAATTATAAAGAATATAACTAATCATACACTACAGAAATATTTGAATCAAAACTGGATCATAAATGTGGGAAGGTGATTGACCCTTCTGCCTCTTCACTCTGTCAAGTGATTATTCTCACTCTCCCAAGTGACAATCTGTTCAATTTGTTTTCTTGTTTTTCTTCACTTTGATCATATTTCGAGCGATTCACGGCCGTCTCTGTGGAACGACCCTACTTACCACTAGCTAATAGTTCTAAGTAGGTTTATTTTCTTTTGGGATGTGATTCGACAAACCCTCACCAATATGCATGATAAAATAAAATAAAATAAAAAATGATTAGCAACGGGTCTAGCGAGGAAAGTAAAGAGAGAAAAGAGAATATAACTCAGTCTTGAATCAAGCCAATCACTTCAGAATACTATATGAATAATCTGTTCAACTCCTTCAGCAAGCAATGAGGAGAAAAGTAACAGATTATTCATTCTCAAAGCTTCGCATGCTGCATTTGAGATAACAATGGTAAAAACTTAATCAATCATTAGTCGCTGCTTTATTATTCAAAAAAAAAAACAATAATGAGAAGAAATAAATTAATTAGCTAAAATATAGTTGAACATGAAATGTGTCAAATAGCATAAAGAAAGGTTACAAATCTCTTACTATTTTTTCATTGAGATGCTTCCTCTCCGAAGGTATTCAATGTGGCTCATCATGGGAGTAGAAATCTCAGAAATATTAAAGGCAACACTTCACCCATTGATAAGCAATACAAAGGCAGGCGGCAACAAACTTGCTTAGTTCTCTGATATGCGGCGAAAACTATGTTCTTCTATATGCAAAATCTTAAAAAACAATGGAAAAACTACGTCAAAAAGTATGACAATAACTCCGAACATAACAATGAAAACCACACACGTATTAGATTAAGCAAAAGTCTATGGAATGGACCGGATTAAAAGAAGCAGAAAGCATCTTGAAATCCAAAAGAATCATCAGGGAATTCCAGTTCTTCTCCATCAATTTTTTAAAGGCCAAATGCTGTAGAAAGTCTTTACGATTCGAAAAATGCATATCAATAGAATTCAAAAGTGGACCTTTATCATACTCCTTTTTCAAGGACTCCTAATTTTAAATTTTGATAGCTCCCCGGTCCTTATATTCAGTTTGCTCTGCATTAAGAAAGAAAGAAAACTCAGAATGCTACCAGTGAAAATTGAATCGAACAAAATTCTCAAAGTTGAAGCAAGTGTAAGGAAGCACAATATAGTTTTAGGTTTACCATAGTCAATTATCATATGATCATTTGTTGGCTATAGATGATCATTGATGAATTCCTGAACCAGAGAACCCGCCATTAGTACCTTCCCAATTCAAGAGTAAATTAAGAGTAAATAAAGAAAAAAAAAAATTGGAAATGCAGAGCCAGTACATCATACTATCTATCAACAGGTAATCCAATGCATTGCGATGAAATAACCATACAAAGAAAAGAATAGCAATAGGACCTAAATGATTGAAACAGCAAATGCACAAGAAACTTTCTCTTTTTTCTTTCACAAAGAAACACTTACTAAGTGTCACATGCTTCGCATGAATTGCACATAGCATTTAATCCTCGAACAACCGAATTAAATAATCGTTTGCAGCCTACAGAAAGAAAAAGAGTGATTTCACATCTAACCCTTGTTTGACATTCACAAATGCTGAAATCGGTTTTTCAATTACAGATTACGACAACTTTAGCAACCAAGA